AGATCGAGTACGTCATATACTTGATGTACTTGATCTACTTGCCCTGCTGGGCCGTAAACTCGGAAGAATTTCGAAAATTAGAGTTGAAGCTCTTATAGGGAGCGAAGCAAAAATTTTCGCGCCAACCGGATGCAAACCCGCATGCGTTTGACTTGAAAATGCACGCGGGTTTGCATCCGGAGAGACTGGCAGCTGAAGATCAGTGAGTTTATCCTCATAAATCGTTTGAAACTCAAAAATAGTCCACTACAGAGACAGTGCATCTAGGGAGGTACCGCAGATCAGAAACTCAAGGGGGGGGGGGAGGGACATAGGTTGGCTTTGTTGAGACCACCGCTAGACTGACTGACTGTGGGTGGCTTCAGATGACCCAGCCCCTCGACCTGAAGCCGATGGCGATTGAAGCCCACACAGGTCAACGAATGGGGCGAGCTCGTTTGTAATGGCGAGACACTCGTCTTTCTTGTTCATTTTTGGTCCATTACTGTCCCCCGCGTATCCGAAATACTTCCAAAGTTTTGCGTGCTGAAGCTTGTGGCTCTCGCATTACAATCCTTATAACAATCTTGAACTCCGCACGAACACACGCACATGACGCCCTCGTTTGACATGTCCGTGGAGAATGATGTGACGTCAAACGGTTCAATGACATGGTTCCGTCGGAAGCTGGCCACTAGTGATTTCTCGAGAAGCGAACACGAGACAGGAAACCAGTCGCATGTCCTCCCCCCCCTTCTGTTTGAGAATGAAAGAATGAGGCGCCCTCAACTTTTCAGCTACGTCAGTGATTTCTGGTCAAGTACTCAAAGCCACCTGTCTCTGTCGCGCTTTATAGCTCTGTCACGACCCATGGGGACACTGCTGGGTTGGACTGAAGTATTTTCTTGATGAATTTGAATTCGAGTAATAAACCTCATACAATCGGGCGCTCTTCCAATTGAACAAACTGTTCAGAGCCGAAGAGCTTACATTCGATGCCAAACCCCTGCTCAACTGAAGAAAGAACGTCGTACGACGACGTTCAGCCGGCCAAGAAACAACCACTCATGCAGAAAGTCTCGGGCAGTTAGAGCCCCCTCTCAGAACCATTTCTAGAAACAGTGCCTAACTCATATTCCTCCTGTAGGTGAACTCAGGAGTTTTTCAAGACACGCCTAACAGTATCCTTCGAGACATTAACCTCCGAAGATGACTTGATTTCCCGACACGACACTGCAGAGTTGGATGCTTTCCTCAGGATACGGCGCTTATTCCGATCGGGCAGCAAAGGAGGATGTCCAGAGCTCTTCTCAACTCAATATTCTGTAGGTTCCTTAACCAAATTGTTGGCAGCATGATGAGTGCGACACAAATCTCGTGCGATACGACGGTTTAACAGTTTTTGAGTCTTCACTGCGACAATCTGTCTTTTTTTTGAGGTTCAGTAGTGAAATGCCATTTGCCATAGCGTAGAATAGACGGTGAGAATTACCTAAAAAAATGCGATGCAGCGGGAAAATATGCAGCGAAACTATCTTTTGCTACTTTGTCAGAACGACAACTTTTTCAAGAAATTGAAATGGTTCTTCAAGTTAGTGTTTGTTGTTGGCATGCGAATTGGTATTGGTAATTACCACATTTTCTGTATGGGGGCATTTTTGAAAACGTGGTGCAAGACGGGATTTTGTGAGGTTCACGGGTGGGACTACGACTATGCTTCGCGTTGCGATTGTACTGTTGTTCATTCCCGAGCGAAGAGGCCCAAGTTCCTCCACCAAGTCAACGTCCTGTTTGTTATTATATGAAGGAGCCGTAGTGAAGAAAACAGGTCTGACTGCCCGAGACTTCCTGCACAAGTAATCGTTTCTTGGTCGGCTGAACGTCGTCGTACGACGTTCTTTCTTCAGTTGAGCAGATGGCATCAAATGTCAGCTCTTCGGCTCTGAACAGTTTGTTCAATTGGAAGAGCGCCCCACTGTATGAGGTTCATCACTCAAATTCAAATTCATCAAGAAAATACTTCAGTCCAACCCAGCAGTGTTCACGTGGGCCGTGACAGGGCTATAGAGCGCGATAGAGACAGGTGGCATTTGTTTACTTGACCGGAAACCACTGACGTATCTGAGAAACTGAGGTCGCCTCATTCTTGCTCGCTCCAATTGCTTGATCAAGCGCGAGCAGTGCGATCAACGCCTCTGACGTATTAGGTTGTTCGAAAAGTCCTGCGACACTTTGACCAAATTTTTCGAACTAAATTTCTGGTCAGTAAAGGACATCTCCAATCTACAAGGTAACCGCAGTTGATGACTAGGACTAGTGCCTTTCTTTTGCACAGCTTCTCATTTCCATTCTCATAGAACTACGGCAACTATGATAAAAAGAAGAGGTGGACCTCATTCTCGAGTTGAGGTCGATTTTCGGAATTTTTGCTTTCTAAAGGATGCGATAGGGACCAAAGGAGGTGGTAATTAGAGGCTGCTAACTTTGTTAAATAACCTGGGTACGGTCGCATTCTCTGATCGAAATCCATGATCTTTTGGCGTAGCCTGATCCCCACATGCGGTCCTCGCATTACCGAGTAGTAGAGAAAAATTGAGTATTTCTGAATGAATTCAAGCGTGACGTCATCCATATTTTGAAGTCGATTAAGGTGGACTGTGGTCCTTACAACGGTGCTGTATCCAGTGATACCGCTTTGAAGTCCCACCAATAACACACTGAAATCTTTATCCCATGCACATCTGCTTTTGGCTAAGCAATCTACTTTGTTTGAGAGATCCTGCGAGGGACATGTGCATGATGTACGCAAGGACTCCAACACTCGCTACCAACCACAAGATCTCACAAAAGTTCTTTCGCTGTGTACAAGGAAAAGAAAACTCAGTCACGGTCATTCGGTATGACTTGTCAGACGGGTCCAACTCATGAGGCATCCTTCACAAAAAATTTTTCCGATAACCGAGATTGCGGAGAAGCATGGCAGTTGTCAGTCAGATGGAGCCTAGAGAGGTCGCCAACTTACCGGTGGTTACGTTCGGCTGCGCCTCAAGCTTGAGTAAAGGGCCGTCATTCTGTGCTGATGGCGACCTATACATTGCCTAACTACGAGTTAAATAAGTCCAGCCTAGAAGCGCTGATGCAAAAGCTACCCTCTGCCATGGCAAGCGATATCCTTCCTCAAGACAACGTAGGTGTCAGCTTCCTCGACTACGGCGGAGTGGCCCTACAGGAACTCATAATATGGGACAGGTCGAAAAGTACCTCGATCTCTGGGGGACTTTTAAGCTTTGAAAACTTCCTCAAAGTCATGATATACCCATGTGCAGAAACCCCAGAGGACAGTCTCCACTAATCAGGGATAAAAACATCCAAAATGATTTTTGGTCTTTTTCTAGAACAATTCAATCAAAGTGTCGCAGGACTTTTCGAACAACCTAATAGTTCGGAAAGCGGAGTGCGGGGAGGGAGGAGGGGGGGGGGGAGACACGCTATTTGCCAGAGAGGGTTTCCTTCTCACTGTGGCTCTACGATCTGTGTTTCTACGACGATGAGATTTATTTATTTAACACTGTAACAGTGTGCCCAAAAAATTAGTAAAGCAATACTCAAATACTAGTCTATGAATGAAAGCCAATATGATGCATGCGGGGCTTGATAGGGGGCTGCGGTTTTGATTGCTGAAGTAAAAAAGAACTACATAGTTGCGGAGGTCTTGGGTTGAACTATTAGAGGGACATGCAAGCATAGCTAAACGCAAAAAATACGTGACAACTATCCACACCAGTTGGCTAAGGTGCCTCGTTCCAAAGGAAGTCATTGGAACATGCCAGAACTTCGGAACACGGGTACACCAACATCCCACGTGGAACTGACATGCTGGATAGAAGCAAACAAGACGACAAACATTCATTTGGCTTGCAGGCAAGTCTAAGCTCTCTAACACAAGCATTTAGATAAACGAAAGTGAAAAGCAGTGAGCAGTTCATCTCGTCTTCAAAGTCCAAGCTGGCACCATACTGATAAAAACAAGGCAGAAAAATGACCACACTGTGACTACGACAGACAGAAACGCGAAACCATACTTTGAGAAGCAACACCACAACACTCTCCAATAAAAATAAGGTAAAAAGGGGCACAATGTAAAGCTTGCTCCACATTTGGACGTAATTGCATAAAGCGAACCAAATAATGCATTGATGGACGAGGGAACAGTTGATGGTCTCCCACTAGACTCATGCACGGTGAACCTTGAAGACGGACCTCAGTGTGGCTATCTGAATAGA